TGCAAATCACAATGGAATAGCGGCGGAAACTGACACGTGACACATCCATGCAAAGTCACTTGCAAAAGCTTCCCCCAATGGCAGCAAATTTGAGACGCGACGACGACGACAAACGACGAGAGACGACGACAGACGACGAGAGACGACGACAAACGACGAGAGACGACGAGACGACGCAAGCCATGCAAACACAGCTCCAACCCCTAGACCCCCAACTATAAACGGGAACCTTTCGCTACGCATTCGGGAAAAAATGCAACGGCCTCCAACCTAATAGCCATCGCCTCCACCGTGCGTAGCGACTCTTGTGACTCAGCGAGAGCCGACCCGGACAACGGCGCGATTCTTGCCGGTCGTCGAGTCGTCGCCACTTACCAGTGACGACAGTGGAGAGAAAGCATGTCGCCATGCACCACGGATTTCGACCCGGCTCTTGAACTGTGACCAATCTCTTCCATGTGGAGGATGAGAAGTTTAAAACTCAACCTGCTTTCTCCAGTCACAACCAGAAACAAATGGATCTCTCCCAGTCCCCACTTCCTACAGGATGCTGGGCTGTTTTACCGGGCTGTTTGCCAAAACCTGCCAAAACGCCTTGCATCCAGGTCTCCAACTGCTCCAGCGTGCCGAGCTCGGCGGCCAAAGGGCCCGTCAAGTGGTTCTGCGCCACATCCAGCCACGCCAAGCTCTTGAGCTGGCTCAGCTCGGAGGGAATGGAGCCGCTCAGGTGGTTTTGCCCCAAGTTCAATCTCTTCAAGTGCTTCAGCCTCACGATCCGCCGCACAAAAATCAATCGCTCTGTCTACTATCTACGGTGTCCAGGAGAAGAAATGAGAGAAGGACCCAAGGAGGAGCCAGGATGACAAGCTGGTCATGTGGGTACAAAGTAAGAGTCTCAAAGAGAAGCGGTCGGTGTGGTCAACACCTGGGGTGTTGAAGTTCTTCGATCAAAGTTCTCTACAAAATCTGGAATGCTCGATCCTGAAATTCCGTGATGAATGCTCGATCGGTCGATCTCCGATAGACCTGACAACTGCGGACCTCGTTCAACGAAGATCCCGGTCTCGGTTTCCTCGGTCCTCAATCCCCACGCATCCGGCCTGCCCAGCTCTGTGGGAATTGGGCCCCTGAGCTGGTTCGATTGCAGGCTCAAGTCTTCCAAGTGTGAAAGGTTGCCAAGCTCAGCAGGGACTTCGCCCGCTAAGTGGCTGAACCTCAGAAAGCAGGCTGAATTTATAAGCCGATGCCAGGCAAAACAGGAAGAAGTTTGGACCGAGCCGTCGAGACCGGTCGAAGCGGAGTTCGGACCGGTTTGGTTCGAACCGGAGTTCGGCCATCGCTAGTAGGTTGGAAGCTTGGCGGTGACCAAGCAGCCCGAGATCAAGATGTGAGATGTATCCATCTTCATTGCACAGAAAGCCAGGGAAGAAGCACGGCTGAGTTGCTGTAGCTTTCGCTCTCTCGGGTGCCATGCCGAGCTTCAAGAGCACTTGCTCCAGCTGAGTCTCCTGGACTGAGTGCCCCTCTTTGAGGCCTCCAAGGCCTCCAAGGCCTCTGTCCTTCTAGTGGATAGCTTTCGGCACGAGGCCCTCCAACATGTTGAGGCGTACGCTACTCTTGGCAGTCTTAGAACCACTCTCGGAACCTGAATTTTGCACAGTGTCGAATCCAAACTCAGCATCGGTCATTAGTCTTGTGGGCCCAAATCCTCTTTTTCCTGCAACTTCTGGAAGACAAATCACCCATGTCCTGAACTGAGCTGGCCATCATCACCACCGCAGCAACCAGGCTTCCATACATCATCCCCACGCCCCGCCCCCGCGCAGCAACCGGCGCCAAGGAAGCTGGCTGAGCCACCCCAAGGTCTAGGGGAAGCTTTCTGTTGGACACACAAAAGAGTCGCCTCCCCGGGTCTTTGCGAAGCCTTTGGGTTTGATTCACTCCAAAAAACACACAAACACATCCATTCTTGGCGCCAGCGTCTCTGATGCGAAATGAGATGATACCTAGCTTCTGTTCCAGGACAGAACTATAGAGCTTCTTTTGGACCGGCTTTCCCGTACCGGCCAAAACGGGTCTCCAGTCTCCAGTCCACGTTTGGAGGGTTCAGTTGTTCCCCACCACGGATGGGGGCAGAGCGCCAGGGCAGACGTCGGAACATGTTCACGGACGGTTCCTGTTCACTGTTCACGTGCACAACACGTGAAACGACTTGGAAAACCTTCAACACGACAGTCCGTCCGCTTGGTGTGTGGGAGCTTCTGCGTTAAAATCCCGTTGGGAGCTTCTGTTCTCTGAAGACCCACGGAATGATACCTCGATTGACCAAATCACCGCCCAAATCTGCGCGGTCCTACAACGAAAATGGGCCAGTGCAAAAACATGTTGGCTCCCCAAAAGTGTTTGCAAAAAAACACACGACGTGTTTGGCCAGCCGCTTCCCTTTCACCATCTTTCACCAGCAGGACCGTACCAGGATCTTCAGACTGGAGCGCCACATTCATCGTCCATCGCTGGGCCCGTCACTGAAACCGCGTGTCAAAAGAAGAAACGGCGTTGCTTTTGCAACTCACGAGCATCTCCACGTCCAAGGTGAGAGGTCGTACGCTCGAAGGACACTTCACATAAGCTCGCTTCTAAGGCGTGCAAGACATGTTCAGAAGCGTGTTTTTTGTTGCTTTCCATCAGTGCGCAGCGGGAACGAAGATACTCTCCATCCGTGTGAGTTCAATCAGTTGCGCCTCAGTGCTTTCAGTTAAGCTCCAAAGACGTCGCTTCACAAAGCTCACGGGCAGAAAGCACTTCGCCCAGGGTCCCAGGACTGCCAGATGAACGGCCAGCAACAAATATCGTCCAAACATCTGGGTGCTAAATGCATGCCAAAGCTGGAACAGCGATCCGGCTCTCAATGCAAGCCGCAAGTATGAGGCTGACAATGCAGCACCCTCGTTGACCACGTCTGAAGGGAGTTCCACATGGTAGACGCGAGTACCGAGGTCAAACATCAATAGGTTCGTGACGGCTGCAGCCAGAATGCCCAGGCAAAGTAAAGGAACGTAGGGTGACCAAAACATCAAAAGTTCCTCAGCCCGAGCACCGTTGCGACATTTGGGCGAGAATACTTAAAATGCGAGTGGATCTTAATCAGCGAAGTTTGAAGCTATCACTGACGGTCCATAAGCGGCGTAGCGTCGGAACGGAAACCGCACCTTTTCTAGTCGCTTGATCCTTGAGCCAAAGTACATATGGTACATATATATATGTACAAGTTGCACTGTACGTGTCGCTGCACTTCCATTCGCATAAAACATCAAGAGGAACGTCCTTTGGTGAGGGCACTGAACGCTGGATGTCAGACATCCCTCTCATTGACACAAAGATTCGGCAGCCGACTGGTGGTGTGACATGCAGTGTACATCTATACCTAGAACCTTGTTGTTCTGAACGACCTCATGTTTGGTGGACGACATTTGATCAAAGAAACCACATCTGAAGCCTCAGGAGCCACCGTCAGCAATTGTGCCACCGTCACATCGAGTTTTCAGAGCTCTTTAGCTGCTGGTTTCACTGAGTTGTTCTCCCGTGGTCTTTCCCGCAAAAAAAGGAAGAGTAGACTACAGACAGTACCATAGAGAAACCATAGTTATCATAGACTCTTCCTCTCTCACATATGCCCAAACTCTGCAACTATCTGCATGAGTCCGGAATTCGACGTGCCCCATCAGCGTAAATTCCCCATGTCCTGATGCGCAAGCAAGTGTCCATCTGTGTTGTGAGCAATGCCATTTGTTGCAAGGGCAGCAGAGATTTGGTCGTTTTGGGCCAAACGCCAAACACCCTCCGATGTTGCCCTTCTCGTGGGTCTCCAGGAGGTTCCAATCGAGAGAAGTGCCACAAGAACCACAAGACCAAGGGTTGCAATGTACTCCGCGTCAAGAGCTTTTGTAAGAGAAATGGGGTCAAGCTCCCCACGATGGCGCGGCTGCATCGGCCATCAAACCACCAAGTCTCGCTGAGTTTGCAAAGGTCTCGGGAGGTGTTCAAGATCTCTTCGTCATAGATCCTCCAGTTGAATTTGTTGTGCTCCACTGATCCTTGTCGGCACACTCTCCACGCTAGCTTCCAGCCACCCAAGCAGTTCTCGTTCAAAGCGGTCGTAACGAGCAGGGCCAAAAGCCACGCGGAAAACAACCGGAAGGTCATCAGCAATCGGTCTGCTTTGACTCCAGTGAGCTTCGAAAACTTGCTGGAGATTGGGACGGCCAGCACCATATCAATGATGACAGCTTGCACTGCAGCAGTTTTGTGGAAGAACTTCAACATGTTGTCATCGAGTTCCCATGCGTTCTCTGCCGGCGTCGACTGGGCAAAAGTGTAGAAAATCGATGGCAGGGACAAAAGGCTTACGATGCAGATCCAAATGCTCCACACTGCAAGTCTGGCAAGCTTCCTTTTGCAACTGAAGACGCGCTTGGGCTTCTGGCAAGTAGGCTTCGGAATGTCGGCCGAGATGCTACAAAAAAACAGCTGCATCGAGCACCAGCAGATGATGACACCAAGCTCCATCAACGGCTCTGCATAGAAATCTGCAGCTGTTATTTGCAACAGGGGCGGGTTGCAGTTGTAGTATTTGCCACCGAAATAGAAGATCAACAGAAGTGGACTGGCCAATAGGAAGGCGAACACTGCAGCCTTTATCCTTAGGTGTGGCAGCAAAATGGTACTGCATACCCTGCCACACAAACAGTGTATTCTGGTGATAGAATTTCACCTTGCAAGCCAAAACCGAAAATAAAAAGAAACATGTGCATGTCAGTTCAGAGGAATTGCTACTCTCCAAAGGCCAGGTCACAGTGCCAAGCTTGATGAAACCACGCGCGCTCTGGCGTCCAAGTCTAATCTTCGGGACAGCTCTTGAAGTCTTCTTTGAAGCATGAGCTGGCACACAAGAAGAATGGTCATCATCAAGGACAAACCAGTCAAGATGAACACATTGGACTTCCAGATATTGGGAGAATAGTAGAGGAAGGGTTGATGTTCTTCCTTCGAGATCCAAGGAGCATTCAAAGGGCTTCCATCCCCGAGCATGTTGCCCATCATCACTAAGCCAGAAACGTCCATGTTGCTAATACTGTTCGGAATGGCACACGAGAAGCGATTCCGGTGCAAGGTGACATTTACCAGACCTGTGGTGGGGCAGGTGTTGAAGAGTTTGGGGCAGTTGGCTTCTGCTTGTCGAAGTTGATTGCTTGTTAAGTGCACAGCAACCGCAAAGCAATCTTGGCAGGTCATGATCTCAAATAATCTGAACCTGGAGTTATCCAGGCACGGGACACTCAAATTGAGGCCATCAATGCTTCCTCCGATCGAGTTTTCATGAAGCGTCAAAACTCCAAGGTGCCTCAGACTGTACAAGGTCTTTGGAAGAAAACCCGTAAAACCATTCCTGTGCAGGGTCAAGACCGCAAGCTCTAATGCTTCAATTTCGGGCAAAGTTCCAGTGAAACGATTGTCATTGAGAGCTAGAAAAGTCAAGTTCTCAAACTTCATGAGGCACGGCGGTAGTTGACCTGTGAGTTTGTTGTGATTCAAGCGCAGCTCTTGCAAGACTCCGCCTCTGGGATTTAATGCACAAAAATAATCTGTAATGCTGGAAATCTCTCCAGCTAACTTGTTGTGGCTCAAATCCAATATTTGGAGTTTTGGCGTCATGAGTTGCATCCCAAGAACACCTCTGAGATGGTTTCGACTGGCATCAAGGAGTCTCAAAGCAGACGAGTTGAATGCGACTGAGATTGTAGTGAAGCGGTTTGAATAGAGGAAGAGTTCCTGCAGGTTGTCGAGTTGGCCAAGTTCGCGGGGAATCTCACCAGTCAAAAGATTCCTGGAAACGGACAGTGATTCCATCACTTTGAATTGGCCAAATTCAGGTGGAATCTCACCCGTGAATTGGTTTTGGTTCAAATAAAGGTTTCTTAGTTTCTGCAACTTGCCTAGCGCGGCAGGAATTGCACCACTCAGCTGGTTTCCATGGGCTGCAAACAAATCCAAGTGTTCGAGCTCACCCAGTTCCGCGGGAAGTGCACCACTCAGCTGGTTCTCCGACAGATCCAACAATTCCAAGCGTTTGAGTAGACGCAGTTCATGTGGGATCTCTCCTGTCAGTTGGTTTTGGCCCAGCGAGAGGCTTTCCAAGTTCTTCAGTCGGCCAAGTTCGCCCGGAATGCGACCCGTCAGCTGATTTTCGGAGAGTCCAAGCTCGTGTAAGCGCATCAGCTGCCCGAGCTCAGGTGGAATCGGACCCGTCAGCTGGTTGCGGGTAAGCACCATCTTTTCCTTGGAAGTCAGAGAAACTTGGAAAAGCACACAAAAGTAGAGCTAGAAATGAACCATCTCATCCATCAAGATGTTCCCGAGCGGTCAAGTATTGCTTGTTGACTGCGGTCAAACATTGTTTGTTGGAAGTCGTCGATGCGTTTTGGAAGAAAACAAGGCACATGTATTGACAGACGATCCTGACAAACGCTGCCCAAGTCCAGTGCATTGACGGTCTGTGTTCTTACATTGTATTTCTGGTATCAAGTCCGGTCTGTGTTCAAACAAAGACCTATGTTGCCAACCCTTTGGTCTGTGTTGCCAACCGATTGGTCTGTTTTCATCTATCATGAAGGGTTGGCATGCGTTCTGACCTTTGTCCTGCCTTGAAGTCTGATAGACCGCGCAAAACACAGACCGTGCTTTAGGCGGTCACAGTCTCTGATCCAGTTCGAGTTCGGGTTCAAGTCGGAGGCTAAGGTGGTTTGGGTTTGGACAGAGGGGGTCAGAAAGATCTAAAATAGGAATTGATTTATATCACAAATTCTATAAAATAATGTGTATCATCACATGTTATAGCAACATCACAAAATACCTACACATCATCTCACCACATTCATGTTTCTCATAGTGCATCATAAACTGTCAACAACAGAGCATTGTGTAACCTCATTCCTTTGTAGAAAAAATGTATTCATTGTATTCCTAGAAATGTTCTATGTCCAAAGTCAATCTGGCTAAAAACCTGTTTTACTTCGTTTATAAATATCCAATCTTACTCCCTGAAACATTATCATGATAATTTTCATCATCAAAACTGTTCATAATACGTGTTCATACTTTTGATTGGCTGATGTTAATGAAAGTTTCAGGGATCATAGTCGTCGAAATAGTATTGATTGGACCCCGCATATTATGTTACATTACCCAACTACAATTGGAAAGTGTTGTATACGACCCGGTGTAAGGCTTGAGCAAATACACCACAGCGAGATGTATGGGATGATTGAGTTGAGAGGAGGTATGACACAATGCACATACAAAAAGGTCGAAGCCAACAACAAATATGATGAAAAATGGACAATATGATGAAACTCAATTCCGTCATCCAATAACCATTCTGGGATGCCAAGAATCACTGGCCATGTGCCAAAAGTTGCCTCTCCCACCTCCACTGGTACACATACAGCCGACTAAACAAAGTAGGAAGCCCGGTCCTAGCTGACTGAACTATTTGTCGATCAAAACAGTTCGAAGGAACCTCGAGACGTGCCAGACGACAACAACTATATCTATATGAGGAGGAACGTTGCCTAGATGCGCATCGTATTTCTCCAGAGCAATGGCAACCGGACATCATTTACACGAAGTTAAGCAACAACAGGAAACATATAAGGGAAGACTACCCTGAAGACAACAAACTTTAGACATCAAACGACAAAGGGTGTATGAAAAAAACAAGCAAGCGAAAAGTAAAAAAAGCGTTGTGAGTTGAGTGGTAGCGGTTCAACTGTTTTTGAGTATGACTTGAGAGCTCATGAACAAACAAAACCGTGTCAACTCATGATGGTTAAATAGTTTGTTCAAGCTATCCAAGTCGTAATGTTTATTATTCATGATATCCTGTCCAACTAGTATTACTTTAAAACCTTGTACTTTCTTTCACTCCATTGACCTCTAGTTTCTTTCCTGGAGACATAGTTGCCCTTTCCCGTGTCAAACACCCTAACGTAGTGAACCTCACTTATGTTTGGGTAGCGGCGCTTCTGTTTTTCCTTCAGTATCAGATTTGTTCTGACCATTACGTTATGAAGATTGCGCGCATTTTTGGGTGTTGTCTTGGTGCTACCGTGCCCTTGCTGCTTGTCTCTCCTCAATGACGGCTTCAACACCTGCACCCACGTGTTGGTACCGTAACGCTGACATCAAGTCGATTTGAAATTCGTAGTTAGGAAATGGTGCGGTCTAGAGGAAATCTAGATTTTGCTGTTTTTTGTTTACTTGTTCGGTGGTGTCTTCCAATTAGAAAGCATATCCCAAGTAGCCTGGCTACCTCTCTCACAGAAGCCCGCCCATCTCCCAAGCCCGGAGCAACCCTAAAGAAGTGAAACCCGCAAGCCGGACCCAAAGAAACCGTATCGCACCCAAACAAACCCTACAAAAGTGAAGCCCTGAGCAGAAGTAAAGCCCAAGCCCAAGCAAGACAAGCCCAAAGAAACCCAGAAGCCATGTGAAGCCTGTGACTAAAGAATTCAAAGAAGTGAAGCAAGACAAGCCCAGAGAAACCCTGAACCCTCCAGCCCAAGCACCGGACGCAGCACCTAAAGCAGCGAAGTTCGGACGCCAAACACTGTCAAGACACCGGAAAGACGAAGAAGAAAATGAAACCCCTAAGCCCAGCCCAAGGAAACCCTACATAAAGAAGTGAAGCCCTAAGCCAACCACAGAGACCCTAAGCGAACCACTTCAGCCAAGCAAGAAATCAGACCCGAAATTTCCCGCAGGGTCCCGCAGCGTCCAGGGAAATCCTACGCCAATTCCAGTTCGAGTTCGAGTTCCCGTTCGGGTGGGGCACACTACGTGTTCTGACATAGTATCTTCTGGCAATGTACTTCTGATATGTGCTCTCGCACCAAGTTAATTGGTATGTTATCTGACATGTGTTGTGACATACGGTGCGGTTTCGGTTCTGATATGTGTTCTGACATGGGTTCTGCCCTTGTTCCGACGATGGTCTGACATAGTTTCTGACATGTGATCTGGCATTCATTAGAGCAATGACATTCAAACTGCCACATGTTCTGACATCATGCATTCTGCCTGGCATATCATCCGGCATGCCTCCTAGCACACCTTCCGGCATTCTTTCCAGCATCTTCTGACATCCTGATGGGCATTATGTCTGGAATATACCCTAGCATTCCATCTCGTCGACCTTGGAACGCCTTCCGACATCGGCATCGTTTCTGGCATTATACCTGGCACATCTTCTCACATCCGTGGTGGTCTCATTAGCTGGTTCGTTACCTGCATTGGTGGGCTTCAAAATCTGCTCAATTCGTCTCCAGGTCTCCAAGTGCGCCAAGCTCCCAAGTCCCGCATCCAAAGGGCCCGTCAGGCGGTTCTCCGACAGGTCCAGCGACGTCAAGCTCTTCAGCTCACTCAGCTCCGCGGGAATGGGGCCGCTCAGTTGGTTTTGGGCCAAGCTCAACGATTCCAAGTCTTTCAGCCTGACTCACCGGGTTTCGCGGCTGAAATATGTCCTTCCCCAGGCTAGAACTCCCACTTGTTAAGCCCTCCCGCCCTCTCGGATCATACTCCTACTAGTCATGGAAACTGCAACTCGGGGATGCAGCGGAAGTTTTAGGCCGCTGAACGCCAAAAGTGTACGAGCGCCTTGCTTCATAGAACTTGAACTAAGCACAGCAATCCTCGACGCGGAATTCTGCGCCTGGACACTACCCGCTCCAACGTGTATTCCGTTGCCGTTGCGCAAAGAACAATGAGCCAACGTTGCTGCACGATTAGGGGGGTACGCTGGTAGAATCTTCAACCCTTGGGCGTTTTGGGTCCAAGTTCTCCTCTCTCGTCGCCCCACTTCCACCCTCCACAAAGCAGGTGTGGGCCCACATGGGTTGGGCCTACGAGGATGTAGCAGATGTAAAACATGAAAAATTCCGGCAGAGTTGAAGCACGCGCGCACTTCTGTTGAAGAAATACTTCGGCAGTGTCACATGGGAAAGTGAGACAGGTGACAAGTGTTCTGGGCGAAGGTGGGACTACATCTGGACGCACATTGCGCCTCATTAAAACCAGCGCGACAGGCCCGTGCTACGCGGATTTCACCTAAGAGACATGCGCATCACGGACGTAGTTTCGACCATGTGCAACACACCCCGCACACCAGCAACACGCCGCGTTTACACACGCATGCTCCCCATCCCCAAATGGCGCGGAGGCACGCAAACACACTGGTGGAGGCCTCGCCAAACCACATGGCACAGCGACATCAATTGCAGACAGCAAGTTTTGACTCTGGAGCTTCCAAAAGTCTGCACACACCCTTTGTACTACAACACCGTCACTTCTGAGTCCAGAGCTGGAGATCGCGCACCCGAAGCCGCTCAGTGGACAATCACCAATGTCCGTTTTTGAATCAATTTGTTGCAATACATTTCTTTTGGAAGGATCTTCAGGTGGTCACAAAGGCCAGAAAGCACTTTGCTCAGATCTTCTGAACATCTATATTGAATATGCGATGAAGATCTTTCAAGACTCTACGGAGCACGTGTCGTCGCAGGACCAGCCAATTTTGGCTTCAATCGAGTGGTCCAAGCTTCTCGACAGGAGTGCCTAAAGAGAGAAATGATGATGATGATGATGATGATGATGATGATGATGGCCATGAGCGGCTCAACCCCAATCGCCCACGTTGCCGCGGGGGCAGTGCGGGAACGTCTTTCAAGCGCATGGGCAACCCAAAGTTTACCGCCGGGCTGATCGACGATCTCGACTACCGGTCCTTTGCTCATCAATCTCCAGGACCCAGAGAACGAGATCTCTACCCCCAGGAGCTCACCGATTACCTCTTCAGGTTCTACCTCCTGTTCCTTGTGATTGCGGCCGCCATTCTCTATTGGCAACATCGGAAGGACCACTTCTACACGAACAGCTCCTCCAGCACCTGGCCACGATCAAGACCATCGAGCTCGCGGACACACGTGGAGGCTACCAAGCATGCTCACTGGGGTCCCAAGTCCCCGGCCAGGGTTGGAAGTGGCCTCTTGGCTCATTGCATTGCAGGGCTCTTCATGGCGCCTACAACGTGAACAACCCGAGCGCTTTGAATCCTTTGGCTCCACCCTGGTGGCCCGAGGGTTCTGGGTCTGCCACGAGACCCAGTGGAGCCGACATACCACAGGCTCTTCAAGCCCTTTTCAAGGCGAAGCCTAGTGGCCCAGGACCTCAATCAATACACCTGGACGGCACACAGCCTCATCCCCAGGAGACATTCTCTATCCATGCACTTCAACGAGCAAATCTCCATGGACCCATTTGGGACAGATGCCAACTTCTCTCAGCCGCCATCTACATCCACGAGGACCAAGCTTATCCGGAAGCTCCTTGGGAGCCCACAAAGTTCAGCGGGACACCATGATTGCTCGACTTAGAGCCTGTGGAGTTTGTTTCAAGCAACCGCAACGTTGGTTCACTCCGGATGATAAGCCCCCGTCTTCGGCGGCTTGGCTTACATCTTTTTGGATAAAGAGCTGGAGTTTGACTACATTTTTTCTCAGGACCA